TAATAATAATAATAATAATATTATTATTATTATTATTATTATTATTATTATTGAAAAATATTTATTTAGAAAAATTAAAAGAGAGAAAATGAAAAAGAAACTCAATTATCTCTTTCTCTTTTTTTTTTTCTTTTCATTTCCATTTTTTAAACTTTTTTATGAAAAATATTTTTCTTAAAAAATAAAAGGAAAATTAATAAAAAAATAAAACAGTATTTCCCTTTTCTTTTATTTTTCCTATATTTTATATTTTGTTTTAAAGAACTTGACATTAAGCCATTATTTGGGACTACTTTTAATATTAAGTATCTTGATTACCCAATTAAATTGAAAAGAAAAAGTAGATTATATAAAGAAATAGCAAATTATATCTTATTTGTTATTGGAAAATCTATAAACCTTTAAAGGTAATATACAATATCCTAAATATGGAATTTGATTTTTTTTTTTCAGGAAAAACCGTAACTTCATTTATTAGAAAACATTTCAGCATTTACAATGACATGGGTATAGTCTGGATATTCCTCCATACTGTATGAATCTTCATGAGCATGTAACCCGAGTTTAGCCAAATTGTGGGCAGCCTCATTCCCTCATCTTCTTGTGTGCACTGCTTTACAAGATTTAAAACTGTCTAGCGATAATTCTGATTTCTTCAAGTAGTATACCAGTCTGAGAGTTGTCTGTTGCTGTCGTATGGAGTTTGTTCGTCAAGGTCAGATTATTGCCTTCCAATATTATTAACCCCATGTCTCTTGCTACTTTTAATGCTCCCAGGGCTGCCAGTGTCTTAATAGTAAGTGGTTCAATTAACCCTGGCCACTATGAGATGTATGTTCCCATAACCATCCCTCTTGAGTCTCTGATCATCACACCTATTCCTCCTACCCTTCCTTCCATGTTTGCTGTACCATCAAAATTCACCTTGTAGAGCCCTGCAGGTAGAGGTTTCCATCCTTACTGATTTGGTCCCTGTTACTTCTTCATTTTCTCTTGGGCAATTTTGATTTCCTATTGATAAGTCATTGCCCACCTGGCAGATATACTTGGATTTCTTCTCATTTCTCCATGTAGCTCATTATTTATGTCGTTCCATGCCGTCCATGCACCTATCGCCAGTAAATGCCCCTTGTCTTGATTCAGCACGTCTATAGTTTTTTGTAGCCAACTTTTCATTCCTTCTTGTGGCTCGTGTCCTCGTCCCTTGATATCCTAAGCCATTCCATACCTCCTTGGCCCAGGTACAATCTTTAACTGCATGTGACACTGTTTCACTCGCTTGTCCACACGTATGACATTTTGGGTTGGCAATGGTCTTCCTTCGATATAAGTTTTGCTTGACCAACAATATTTCTTGGGCTACTTTCCACAAGAAGATCTTGATTTTGGTTGGAATTTGGATCGCTCATATACTTCTCCATATGTTTTCCTGCTGGTTCCTTTCCACGTTTCCTTTTGTCCATACAATGACCTGATAAGAAGCCTATATGCATTCCTGACAGTAAATTCCCGTGAATGATCATAATGCCATATTAACTTGTCAGGGAGGTCGATTCGACTGAGTGGCATTACACATATAGCGTCTGCTTCTGCTTTAGAAAACCTCTCTCTTATAGCATTCCAATTCTTCCATTTTGTTCGTGCATCAACCAACACATCCACAGTCTCTTTCACGTCCCAATAACTCCTCTGTGAAGTTGAACGAAATTTGTCCATCAGCGGGTCTAATTATCCGTCCATATCCTCACCGTCCTACCGTTGCCAATCTTCCACCTCATACCTTTTTGAAGAACACCTCTCGCCGCCCATGTGCTTTTCCATGTTAGGGAGTGTGAGTTACCCAATGTGGCTTCCATGAAATCAAATCCTGGGAAATATTTAGCCTTTAAAATTCTATGTAGCAAAGTGTCTGTTTTATTCAAAATTCGCCAACCCTGCGTCACCAATAAAGCTTTGTTGAAGTTGGCCATATCTCTAAAACCAATTCTCCTCCCTTTTTGGCAGACATAGCTTCGACCACTTTAGCCAATGGATGGCACGTTTGTCCTTCTCATGTCTCCACCAATAATTTGAGATGATGCTATCAAATTCATCACAGAGGAAACGTGGTAAAAGGAAACAGCTCATTGTATAGGTGGGAACTGCTTGAAGTACTGCATTAATGAAAGCCTCTTTCCCCTTACAATAGTGTTCTCTGGCTCCACCCATTCATCTTCGGCTTTATCCTATCCTTCAAGTCTCTAAACAATCATTTCTTTTTTCGACCAACCATAGATGGAAAACCCAAGTATCTCTCCAGTTTGTAGTAGCATGTATCCCAAAGATGTTTGGTATCATTGTTTGTTTTGCCTTTTCAGTTTTTCTGCTAAAAATTAAGGATGATTTCTCGAAATTTATTTTCCGGCCAGAGCATTCTTCATATCTCTGTAGCACGTTCTTTACCCTCTCGCTTTCGCTCTTATTCGCCATTGCAAATAGTAAGCTATCATCAGCAAAGAACAAGTGATTTACCCTCGGGCTAGTCCGACATGCTCGTACTCCATGTAGAGACCTTGTTTCTGCTTTACATCTAAAAGGGCTGACAGTCCTTCTGTACGTGTAAAAAATAGATAAGGCGAAAGTGAGTTTCCTTGTCAGAGCCAATATGGATTTTGATGTTAGAAATAAATGGCGGATTCACAGGAAAAATGATTGGACTCACAAAGAGCAGAGGATAAACAAGAAAATATAATAGAGTTTACTTTAGAATAAAGAAAAAAAAATTGAGAAAAAATCCTATGACTTTTTGTTAAGATCATGGTAGTTATGATATCACTTATCAGATGAAAAGTCTCAATCCAATTGAACATTCACGTTAATAGAAGCGAAATTAAATAATTAATCAATCACACAAGAGACTTCAATTTAACATGATTTAGCTAAATCTACCTACATCCACGAATGAAAAAAATATTTATAGTTGTAGAAAATTATAAACATACAATCAAATCAACTACTCACAATCAATACACATAAACCCTCTCAATCTCCTTTAGTTCTAGGAAGTATTTTCAACCCAAATAAATACATACTCATATACATCTATGCACTATATCTATGTGCACCATCTTAATCTCATCTAGTCCTCACAAATATTCAAATATACATACACAAAAAGATATTAATCTCTAGTAGTCCTATGAGATATTCATCTGATAAAACTTTACAACTCATTATAGAGACTCCACTTATTTATAAGCATACAAATTTATCTATCAAAAATCAATTTCCTCTTAACAAATTTGCTTATCAAGAATCATTTTTCTCTTAAAATTTTTTTCTTGTAAGTCTTCTTATCCATCAAGTAATATTTAACCAATCTTAAACAAATTTGTTATGAGATTTGAGTTACTATTCATAATAATCTCCATTTTGATTCAAATTTCATCAATCATCAATTTTCATGCTAAGCATACTTAACCCCACCTATAATGAAAGTTTCGTGATAATCTTTTCTATATGTCTTTAAACATTGTGCAAATCGCTTCTCAAAATATAAACTCGAACTCTTCTCTTAAATCGAGCTCCTCTAGATTTATTTTTTTTCAAATCTCAAACATTTAGCCTGATACCATTTGTTGGGATCATACTAGCTCTAATACCACTTGTTAGTCGAAAAGCCCTAATCCAATTGAACATTCACACTAGCTAAAGCGAAACCAAACAATTAATCAATCACATAAAAAATTACAATTTAACGTAGTTTGTCCAACCAACCTACGTCTACGGATGAGAAAAAGATTCACTAATTGTATAAAATTACAAATATACAATCAAATTAATCACTCACAATCAATACCCATAAACTTTCTCAAATTTTTCTAGTCCTATTGAGTATTTTGAACTAAAATAATCACATAATCAATACCCATAAACCCTCTCAATCTTTTCTAGTCTTATTAAATATTTTCAACCCAAATAAACATATACTCATATACACCCATGCATCAATTTATGTAAACTATTTCAGTCTCTTTTAATCCTCATAAACATTCAAATATACACACACATAAGAACATTAATCTTCAGTAGTCCAATAAGTGTCTACCAAAAAAACTTTACAGTTCTCTTATATTTTTTTTTCATATCTAATTTTATAGAGACTCCATCTATTTATAAGTATATAAATTTACCTATCAAGAACCATTTTTTCTTAATAAACTTAACTATCAAGAATTTTTTTTCTTTAAAAAATTTTTTTTTACAAATCTTTTTGTCTAACAAATAATATATAACTAATTTCATATAAATTTACTATAAGATTTGAATTAATATTTTTAACGCTTTTTACACGAAGGGATAATCTTCATATTAGAAAAAAGAAAAAAAAACTTTATTTTTAAAATTTTAATTATAATTAAAATTATCTAAAATTAAATTTCATACTTTTTTGATGCCATAAAAGTTTAATACTTTTCATCAAAATTTCTATCATCTGTTGTATTTTTATTTTTTTCTTTGAAGAGAACCTTATTCATGATTATTAAAAAAAAGTTTGCTTTCATTTAATTCAAAGCGACTTGTCCATCAATTATACTTTTGGCAAAATGTATTATTAGCTACTTAATTATAATTTTATTTTTAAAATAATTATTTAATTTAATCACTAAAATTTTAATAAGTATTTTTTATCACTTAATCATTAATTTTTAATGATAAACTAATGTAATAATATAATTGTCACACCAATTATTAGACACGACATGATATTATTATATTATTTTTTATGCTACATGACATTATTGATGTCATATTATAAATTTAAAAAAAAATGATAATATGATAATAATACACAATATTTGCTAACTAACATGATAATACTATGCCAGCATATCATTAAAAACTAACAATTAAGTAAAAAGAAAATATTTATTCAAATTTTAATAATTAAATTAAAAATTTTAATAGTTTAATGCTTATTTCAAAGATACGATTATAAATGAGTGATCGATATCATAATTTATCCTAAAACTTTCGAAGGCCTAGTTGTCCAACCAACAACATTGAACTCCAAACCTCTCATTAAATTTCCATATCTAGTTCGTTTTTTGTTTTTTTTTTTTTTTTTTTAATTCCTGATTCCATTCACTCTTCCCCTTTACCTCTCTCCAAAGATGTCAAACTACACACTGGAGTCATGCACAGTTGAAACTCCTGATGGAGTCCACCTGAGAACAAGAGTATTCAAACCAAAGGAAGAGATCAAAGACAACACGGTAATAGTTCTTGTCCATCCATACTCAATCTTGGGTGGTTGTCAGGCCCTTTTGAAGGGGATTGCTTCTGGGTTAGCTGACAGAGGCTACAGGGCAGTTACTTTTGACATGAGAGGAGTTGGAAGGTCAACTGGAAGAGCTTCTCTTACAGGTTTTGCTGAAGTCAAGGATGTTATTGATGTCTGCAATTGGGTTTCCCAAAATCTTACTTCTGACAAGATCTTGTTGGTGGGTTCTTCTGCAGGTATAATACAATTATTATCTTAGCCATTTTATTTTTTTGGAAATACTTGATTTTGATATGGAGAATTATTATTGGGTTTTTGGGTAATGATTGCATTTTTTCTGTTTAGATTTAGATCCGTTAAATAGGTATTAGGTTATTATGTACTTAATTTACTTAAAAAGGGAAGAAAAAAATAAAGTTAACTTCTTTCTTACATTGAAGGAAGGGAAAGTTGAGGCAGATGTAAGTCCAACTGATTCGTCAAGTGCTAATCATGTAATTGAATAAGAAGGGTATTTTTTATTTTAGGCTTATCAATTATTTCAGTTTTCTTGGTTAATATACATTAAGAGTTGCTTGTGATCTTTTGTTAGTAATGTGCAGGTGAGCAGAGTAAATGTTTTAGAAAATGATTTTTTGGGAACTTTGATCTTTTCCTCAATTTTTGGAAAAGCATACCTCTCTAAAGGTTGTTCCCATCACTATAAAAAATATGGATGAAACTTATTTGAAGGTTTGTTATGATGACAAAGTTATTCTTAACTTGAAATTAGATGTTATTCTTAACATACAGCCTATTGGTCGCCACAGCTTGCTACTGAGAAAGGAGGTTTTAAATTTATTCTCTTCCCTGATTTTACTGTAGATTAAAAAACAATTTGCAATGATCAGAGGCTTTATCACTCAAATACATTGTACTACGAAGAGTCAGCACTAGCTTTATAAGTAAAGGTGGGAAAGGGGGGGGGGGGGGGGGGGACTGAATTTTTATTTTTGGCTGAGCCTAAGGCAATTTGGTGAGCTCTGTTTGCTATATGCTTCACTTTTTTGTAAAGGTAAAGAGTTGCCTCAGTTCTTCCTTTGGGCTAGATCTAAGCCAAATTGACTAGTTTTGTTTCCCTGCTATGCCCTGCTTTACATGTAAAGGTGAGGAGTTGCCTGGATTCTTATTACAGGCCAAGGCCAAGGCAAATTAGTCAGTTTTGTTTCCCTTCTATGCTTCAAGTTAAAAATTTACTTATTTATTGTATAAGTTTGCCCCTTTTTCCTTGAGTGGTGAATGAACTATTTGATATGCAATTTTTCTTCAATAAAGATTAGGTCTTGGTGTCTTTTGAGGTTGCTGCAGTACTTTTGCTTACTGCTGGTGTAATTACGTACTGAAAAGTATTGTTCTTAGTTATCTACTGTTTATGTTAGAGACAATTTCATTACTGACGGCGGGGAAGAGTTTTAGGTGATAGATTCAGTTAGTTTTTGAAAAGCAAATTTGTTGTAGAATCATTCTGATAATTATGCCATTAGGTTTTCAAAGCTCATGCCTTTATATATTAAAAAGGAGTCATTTTGAGGTATCACATGCTCATATAATTTTATTAGTTTTGTGCATGGATTGGGTGGTGTATCCTGCTAAATCACTCAGCTACAATGTGGTAGAGACCCATAAAACTGATGTGCTGAAAATAAATAGGTTTTGTTTTTTGCATTGAGTTTGTGTCGCTTGACTGTTCATAGATAAATGGGTGGTTTTTGCAGGTCAATATTCATTTTTCATTCTTCTTGTAAAGTTTATAGTTGTGAAATAGCTTTAGTGTTGGTTACTGATTTGTTGAGCAGGGTCGAAAAATGAATACATGAGACTTTAAAATGTGTGTTTGTGCGTGAGTGTGGAGCAGAAGAAATGACTTGACTGCTGTAAACTTGTTGTATATGTTCAACATTGGGTTTTACAAGAGGGACTAATCAAGATGTTCTGAACAGGCTGCTTGTCAGTGGCCATGTTCAACTGAATTTGCTGATGGATTCCTATTTCTTCTCTATCATTCCTGAGCCATGTGACTTGCATTTGATTGATATTTTTATTCGGCATGTAAAACCATCATTAATTATTGCATTACAACATCTTATGTCAATTGATAGGATATATACACCAGACCAGCATTGCAATTTGCAATGTGATATTGCCCCAGTTAGCATAGTTCTTGGACTTCAAAAGTACATAAATAATTGCAGTAAACTTAACCTCATGCCTTATTACAGGGGCACCAATTGCAGGTTCTGCAGTTGATCAAGTTAAGCAAGTTGTAGGCTATGTAAGTCTGGGGTACCCTTTTGGCATGATGGCCTCAATCCTTTTTGGACGACACCACAAAGCCATCCTGCAATCCTCAAAACCGAAACTCTTTGTCATGGGAACTCGAGATGGATTTACGAGCGTGAAACAGCTCAAGAACAAGCTAAATTCTGCAGCCGGTCACAATGAAACACATTTAATTGAAGGAGTTAGCCATTTTGAAATGGAAGGTCCTGCTTATGATGCCCGGATGGTGAATCTTATCCTTGAATTTATTGCCTCATTTTAGGACATGAATCCAGTGCTGCGATGGAATTTTTGTGAAGTTTGTTTCCTTAGGCTCTGTTATTGATATGCTGATTTTTATATATTTGTGTAATTTGCAGGATATTAGACCTTTGGTTTCCATGCTACCTGGTCAAACTGAAAACATGTTTCCCACTGAACTTGGCTGCATCCAAATGAATGATAAAGAAAAAGAGGATAAAGCAAACAAAATGAATATAAATTTTTACATGGTCAGTGATATTCACTAGTATTTAAAAAATTTATACAAGCATTTTCCTATTATACAGTTAAATTAAAGTTACAATAAGACTGAATCCGATGAGCCTGCTAGCCAAAAAGATTATGAACCATTAGCCTAGCTGGTAGAAAGTCAAGGATAAAAAAAAAAAAACAAAAAAGATACGAGGGCACTTCTGGCAGACACCACTGCTATTACTACTGGATATACAAAGCTGGCTACAATCTCATGTCATTTATTGCCGTCGGACCCCTCAATCATTCTAACTTCACCCATCTCATCGTAATGCCGTTTTCTCCATGCCCTTTCTTGATCCCTTGATTGTCCTTGTGAGAATGGATGCGCTCCATCTGCTTTGAACCCAAACAAATAAATAAAAACAACAAATGGTATTCTTTCTTTCAATAATAAAGCTATAAAATCTCTTAACTGCTTTGAGCCATTTACCACCCTCCACCCCCACCCCTCTCAAGTTCAGGCAATGAAAACTCCGCTACATGAGAGGTCAAATAAGCTTAAACATATCAACAAGTTGTCTTTTCATTTTGGAAGTATGTTTTCATCTTTCTGTTATTGAAGTTGCAGGAACAGCAGTTATTGACAAGTTAAATAATGAGGCTGGCTTAAGAAATAAGCTATGCTATACATTTTGTATTCTTGCCTGTTTGAAATTTATATCATTGCATTCATTCTTATGAGAATGGTAATGGGGATGAAAACAATAATTAATAGGAAATTTGTACAGCTTTGCCACAGGTAAACCGAACATCAAAAAGCTACGAATTATATTATACAACAGAAGATGGTGCATCCTTATTTTACCTATTTTATAACATTATTATATGTAATTAGTGATTACCACTTTCACCATCAGATGCATCTTCAAGCCTCGCAATTGCATCAACCAGGGCTTGTTCATGCTCCTGCAATGACAAATATCCATCATAATTGCTGCAACAGCTGATATAGAACAATGCAAGAAAATCATTAGAAGACAATACTTACTTTCAGCACTTTCTTTGCTTTCTCAATTTCTATGGGATCAGGATTTTTTGCACCAAAAACTTTTTCCACCTGTTCAAAATTTCCACAACTAGGAATAAGTACACACCACATTTGTCAACTGCAGTCTACTAGATGATCATCCAGTAGCAATTATACCTCCTTAATTAGAGTATCTGTATGAAGTATCTCAATATCACCCAAAACCTTTTTCCCAACACCATTTTGTGTCAAAGGAAAATCTTTTTTGGCCTGACCTTTTAAACTCCCCCTACCTCTTCCTGCTCCGGCAACCCCACCACCACGAGCCATGGACTTCTTAATCCCACGGCCTGGTCCAGGGCGGCCACCTCTGCGGGATATTCCAGGATCATCACCTTCCCATCTAATATCTTCAGGAGATATCTACCATTATATATATAACAAATCAGTGGGTGGCAAGCAAGTATAATCCAAAGGACTTATTCTAATGTTGTAATGAATGATCGAAAAGTAGTGGATAAATAGAATCCCATTCCTAGTTTCTTACTGCTCTTATGAACATTGAGAAATAAAAGGCATAAACAGATGGTAAAAGATGTCCTAGAAGTAACAATAACAACGAGACATGTTACAATTGAAAAAATTACCAGTTCAGCATGCAATAATACAAGGTTCGCACAAAGTTGCATATAATGTAAAGTAAGCATAGAAACAACAGTTCCAAAACGTGGACCCTATCCTTGGAATATAATGCACAACCCTTAATAAGTTTGAGTGAGAATGACAATAGAGGGGCCAAATTGTCAAGATATGCAGACATGAAATGTGAATTTAGTTATAGTTGGATCAACAACTTGGAAATATATTAGTGAATCATATGATCCCTATTTGTATTAGTAGATATACCAAAATACATGCAAGAGTAAGTCAGGGACCTCATAAAGTTTATCATAAACTGCTTGCAAATTCATGAAAATCACATTGATAATTGGTTAAGCTTGACAATATATTGTAACTCTATGAGATATTAGCCATATCTCTGAAAAAATATGGTTCACGACGCAAGGATAGACACGCACATAAATTCTGCAATGTCTAATGAATGGCATAAAAGTTCTCGAGAAACATATGCTACAAGCATAGAAGTTGATTTTGTTAAAAATGGTATATAACATACTAACGGAAGGTAAATCAGGTCATACAGAACAATAATCATTGTATGAAATAGCATTAAAATGCAACAATTTTACCTCTTTGAGATTGACCCATTCCCAGGTTTCATCTGCTGTATTAATATCATAAACCAAAGCATGCCGCCCCTATCAATATGGAAACATAGGATTACAAAGAGCTCCATCAATTAACAGCTTACTGTATAATCAACTGCAAAATATACCTCAACTGGGTTATAGTCTGTTATAACAGCCTCATAGAAATGGTTGTCTTCAGGCCACCTTGTCCAAACTTTCCTTCCGATTAGTGGATCATATTGTGCTGCTTCAGCAGGTTCATTTGTAGCAAAGGCCCCAGAAGAAGTACGATTAGGAGCCTGGGGCCTTCCAGGAAGACTTGTGGAAGGGTACTGCATTGACTTCATTGAGGATGCAGCAAAACAAAAAACATTATCAGTAAAAGATGAAAGTTGAATAAGCATAGCCCATTCATTAACTTTTCTCATCTCTCCAAACGAACTAACTCACCGATTTTGATTTTTTGCTCCTTGTTCCTGGGGGAGGACCTCGTCTCAAGGCTGATGAAGATGGTTGCATAGATGGATGCAATGCAGGAGATGGTGCACCCATAGATAATGAAGCTACAGACTGTGATGTTTTTTGCTTCTTGCGTGATCCTGATACTGTAGGACTAGGTATAGGCTCATGAACAGGCTGACCGGTGCTGAGCTTTCCAGGCTGGATCCCACTTGCCGTTCTCCATTCCCTAACAGCAATGATTAATCATAGTTCCCATTTAAATGCAGAAATGACAGAAGTCATTAGATATATAACAAAAGTTGCTCAGCAGAGCATGGCATAGTATATAATCAGACCTTATCCTCTGAATAATGTCATCAGCATTAACCCTCAATAGAAGCTCCCTATGTTCCTCATCTGATACTCTCAACTCCTTTCTCAGTTCAGTAATTAAACTTTCCTTCTCCTGAGAGGGAAACAACATTTGGTTTAAATAGCTTTTAAACCTACTTGACATAATCTTTATGGGATAAATTATTGAAAAAAAAATTCTGACAAATACCCAAGTTAAAGCATCTGATTGAGCTTTGAAGGCCCGCAAGACCGAACTGTATGCTTCCTGCTCAATGAGATGGATTTGAGTTTCCATGTCACCATGCATCCTAGGCAATGGAACAGGACCTACAACTGCTGATCTTCCATTCCCAGCAGCAGTGCCACCCCCTCTTTGAAACCTATTCTGATGTGAAGGAGGGAGGTCATCATCTGTTCCTGCAGTTGTTTCAAATCAGAAAGATTCATTATTTGAGTTAAGCTTCTAGGATGTGGCAAGATTTTTGGACGGGTTCATAAGTAATAATATAATTCTTTTACCATTTCTATAAACCTTATTACCAAAAAAAATCTGATTAGATACAGAATCTTTCATAAAGTTACCAGCAGTTATTTCTTCAAACCACCATTAACATACATTACTGAACACTTCCAAATGATGTAGAAATTGAAAACATTGAGAAAGAGTAAAAGGGTGTGAGAAAAAGGGAGCTTCAATCTTTTATGAATACAAGCTACCATTACAATGTATTAGCAAGGTTTCATGACCCCTGAAAATTCACTCAAGATTAACCAAGGAAAGCCACGTGACTTTTGCATCATTTAACCAAGCTAAAGAAACCAAGTCCTCTACATCTGAAAATCATCAAATTTAAAGGGGAAAAAAAGACAAATTGAAACAAAAATTTTAACAACTCACCACTACTATCAGAAAGCCCATAGTCCATGGCAGCTCCTTCAAATTCAATCTTCACAAAACTTTATGAAAACTCTTTGAACCAATAGAAGAACCAGAAGCAAGCTGCTAAGTTGTTGAGAAAGACAATGTGCAAATACCTGGAAACAATAAAAATACAATGTAGTCATAAACTTTAGCTAAAATGAGAACCTCAATCAACTAAACTAGCTATAAGCCCATCATTATAATTTTTGTGCTAAAAGAATCGAACAACAATAGATTATCGAAATACACCTTAGTTGAACCCAAGAACCATACAAATATGCCTTTAATATTTTATGGCAATTCTAATTGTAATTTAGTGCTTCAAACTAGCTATGAAATCAGTGAGATCAAAACAATGTGATAGTGTTTTTGGTGATTTACAAGTTAACTTTTGTGATTTAGGTTTTTGGCTTAATGATATTGCCTTAGTTACTGGTCCTAATTATCCATCAAAACACCTATTATGGAGGTATTGGTTTTCCTTGTATAAGCTCGTTTCGATTCAAAAGCAAATGATATTTTGAAAAACCAAAAATTTAACTCTTTTTGAAGAAGAAAATAAATGATTTTGTACTTTTACATAGAACAATTATGTTATAGAATTGGCATTGTACTTTAGTCATTTGTTAATTTTTAGAACAATTACAATTTTGCTTTTATCATTCACTTTTACTCAATAGCAACTTGCTTTTCATGAAGCAAAAACGAAATAGCCAAAAGAATATATAGAAACATGAATTCAAGCAAATTCCTTGAATCAAAACCCTAATTCCCAAAAGTAAGATCTTAACTAGATAATGCAAAGATACAATTTTTTTTATTGTAAATTAAGCTTACCAATTTTTTAACTAGTCTCCCCGCTTTAAAACCAAACCGAAAAATATATAATCAAAATCAATTTAAATTCAAAGTCATCAAAGAGAAACCCTTTATCCACAAGCTCCTAAAATTACACAAAGAAAATCACAGAATCTAACAAGCTCACCTTGCCCGTCTAAAGCCCTACTATCTGAGGATCGAAAGCCAATTATTTCACCTAAAATTCCAAATTTCAAACAAAAATTCACTTCTAATCAGCTTTGAGAGCAATAAAATCCAACGAAACGCTTTCCAAAAACTAACTTCTAAGCAGCTCCAACGATGAACAGGAACGACACTTTCTCCCAAATTTCTTGGAATCCCAAGCAAAAATTGAATCAAATAAGTTCGCAGAAAGTCAAATTTTGAAAAACGAATTCGTGAAGGACAAAATTTATGTTTCAAAATTTCGAATTCTGCTTGCAATTTGAGCAAGATAGGGATTCCGAGGAAATAGGGAGAGAGTTAGAGATGCAAATTAGGGATAAAATTAGGGTTTAGAGAGTGAATTTTTATGTGAAGAGATTTGGTTTGGATTGCGAGAGTGTGTTCGAAAGAAGAGAGAAAGAATGCGGACTTGAAATATGTTTTTATGGCGTTTCTATTATTCAGTTAATAATTCAGTTTGAGTTTCGCTCTGCACGCCCATATCGCAAATCGTTTTGTTTAATAACGATTTTTTTCTGTTCAATAGTAAGACGCTGCGTCGTATGTTTTGCGCTATAGGCTCATGCCGTCTTCGCCGTATTGTTGCGGACTTGCGCATAAAATTAAGAAGTCTTCTTGAACAGTGCTTGCTCTAGGATGAAGTTCGAAACTTTATTCAAATTTTAAAATGGTATAGATAAAAAATTAATTTAAAATTTTAAAATATTTAAATTTTAAATTAAATTTTGAACACAAGAATTTAAATTTAAATTTAGTTCCGGTTTGAATAACGTAAATATAATTAAATTATTATAATTTTATAAAATAAAAATTTTTATATTAATATTTTATTTTAAAAAAATTTTATTATATAAATTAAACTTATTGAGTGGATTAGATTTTGTTGTTTTAATATGGATCAAATCAATTTTAAGTAAATATATAAATTATTAATTTCAAATATGGATTTGATCTAATTCATAAACACTTATACACAAGAATGTTAATTAAAGATCATTTTATCTATAATTTTTTATTATACTATTATAATTAGTTAATTATAAATGGGCAAATTTTATGAAAGGTCACCTAATTTATACCCAAATTTCATTGGGTCAATGAACTTTAATTTGTTTCATCTAGATCACTAAATTTTGTTAAATATACCAAAATTGGTCATATTAATAGATTTCATCTAAATTATGATAGAAAAATGACATGACTACTATATTATCTACCACATCAACTAACTAAATCTATATAATTTCAAAAAAAGTCATTCAACTTTCACCTAATTTTCTAAATAAAATGAATGGTAATGAAGTGGATATTTGCTATTTCTGGTATATTGTATCCAAAATGTTTAATATTTATAATATCCGAATTTGTTTAAATATCCGTTTAAGTTTAAAATCACAATCAAAATCTAAATTTGTTTAAATAAACATTATCCGTTTAAATATCTGAATCCATTAAAATATTCATTTATTTAAATTTTTTGTCAAAATATAAAATTAATAAGAATTTAGTTTAAAATTTAAGTTCACTGTGAATTAATTATAAATAAAAATTATTTTTTAAAGTCCTAAATCTTATACAAGAATAAAATTTTATATATGTAAATGGATAATGGATTCGGATATCTATTACTATCATTAAAACTTAAATAGATTCAAATATTAGATATTCAGAAGATACTATCCGTATATACTTTGAATCCATCATTGGTAGTAAATTTTTATTTGAATCTGTTAATTATCTATTTTTAACTATATGAATCTGACATAAAAGGATCGGATAATAACATATATCCATTTTTTTACTATCCATTACTATCCTTACTAAATAAGTCATTGAATTTTAATTTGTTACTGCAAGGTCACTAAAACTTGTTTTTAGTACCAAATTTGATTATTCTAATAAATTTTATCCCAAATAAAAGTTAGATAAATTTTAAAGGGAATGGATTAAGTTACACATAAAAAGTTTTACACTTTTTTTTCTAACCATTCATTTCAATAAATTCTATATCCTCTCATATCCCACAGAAAATCAAAAGAAAAAATTTAAGTAAATCCAGAATAGACAGACTTTTAACTAAATATTTGTTTTTCTAAAATATTACTAATTTTATTAAGTGAAAGAGCATAAATATTTAAATAAATGAAACAAGTCATTACAAATTACCCTAAACCCAAAAATTATGAAAGAATTTCTCATTTAAAAGTGTGAACTCTACGTAATTTTTTAATAAATCATGCCTAATGCTGAATTATGATTCATTAATTATACTATAGTAATTGTACATGATATTCTCTCATGTAATTATATCATATATATTATATTATAACATATAAGGATACCTAATAAAGTTTGTCACGTGATACTTAGATGAACATTTTTTTTTTTTTTACATACGGACAATACCTTTTATACATGATTCAAATTCAAATATCAAAATTTTTAAAAATAAAATCTTACCCAAATTATCTTTGATTAATTTTCTATAATTCTTTCTCCAAAAAAAAAAAAATTGAATAAATTGTAATAAAAATTAAAACTAAAAAAATTAATCTTATTTGATTAAGATTTCACCTAGAAATGTTTCTTTTTAAATTTAAATTTCCAAAGGGATATTTTTATTTTGGTATCTTTTTTATAATCCTTTAGTCTTTAATTTTTTTAATTTTAAAAACATATTTATCACTTATTATATATATTTTTTAAATTCAAAAGATTTTTACCATTAATTTGAAGTTTCAACATCCTAATTATTATCCAACATCTATAAAAAGTATGAGGAGCAAAGCTTTTTATTCAATTTGTAACTTTTTTAAAAGGTATTATTACTTTTATGATTTTGTTTTTATAAAAAATAATATTTATTTTCAATTTTTTTTGTTTGACACGCATTTCTTATTTTTTTTATTTTCATATTTTTTTAAAAATCTTTAAAATCACATAAATAAAGGTACATAAATACTATGAGCTAATTTATTATTTAATTATATATATTTAAAAAACAATAATATTTTTATATTCTCATTCTTTTTAATATTTAGATAACATTTATAATAAGGAAGGATGAAATATATTTATAATTTAATTAAATTTTTATTCAATTGCTTTGAAGAAAAAAGATTAGCATAGTACCAGACTTTCTAAGTAACCCAATAGTCATATAAGATTAAAATTTTACTTAATGTTAAATCATACTTCTTCTCTTTCTTTTTTTATTTTTCATTGTATCATACTTTTTGTCTTATTATTTACTTATTGGTACAAAAATACATATATAATCTAATAGTTATATAAGGTTGAAATTTTAAGTAATGTGTGTAGATACCAAATTTTATCCGAAACATTTTAACATGAACAAAGCCCATTTATAGCCCGTAAAAAAACCCCTTAAAGAGCTCATAAAATACATCGATATTTAGGTCTAATAAAAAAAAAGAGACCCGTATGATTAATGTCAAATTTTTTGCATGAAATTTATATGGATGATACTTTTCACATGTATGCATGAGAAATAAAGAATAAATAAAATGAGTAAATCTCAAAGTCAATCTCGATCAAAACTTGGTCAAAATGAGTAGAACTAGGGTTGATTTTCAAAATTCAAAACCTAATTGAAATCAATGTGGTTTAAAATGGAATTTGGTTATTTTTAAAATGCTAAATTTTTTTATTACATTGGGAGAAGTACAAAATTACCAAAATACACTTATAAGGAGATTTTCGTCATTTGACCTTCTCGAGCTTGGATTTTCATGAAAATTTTTAGATCTTAATTTTCATAATATTTCATGTTTTTTAGTACATTTGAAATCACAACACTACCCTAAAAAGTGTGAAATTACCAAAATACCCCATATAAGGGTATTTTTGTAATTTGATCTTTTCGATCTTGGATTTTTATGAAACTTTTCAAATCTCAATTTTATAATATTTATTGATTTTTGATGTTTTAAAATCCTAAAAATGAGTATGGGAACATTAATTTCTAAGAAAATGGCTTAAATACCGAAAACTTTACACTATGAGGTAAAATGGTCTTTTCGTGTGTTTGGAAGGCATAAAAATCTCCCTTTTACTATAAATAATATGGACCATTGGATCTTTTAATGCTTTTGATCCAATGGCCAAAGGTGTCCCCTTGAAAGGAATAAAAGGACAAACTTTGACCCCTGGATGAAATCTCATCCAAGGGTCCATGTTTATCAAGATCAAGATTTTTTTCTTTGTTAACCATTAAAGGGGCTATGAGGTTTGGTCAAAGAAAAAGGGAACAGGCTAAAGAGAGCAAGGAGGTTGGAAAAATGTGAAAGGAAAGCCAAACACGTAAAAAAATAGTGAGGGAGAAACTATTAAAAAGGAAAAAAAAGATGAAGCTACCAAATAGAAGGAAGGATGAAGAAGTCTGTTGAGTAGCTAGGGGAAAGACTTTGAAAAAGAAGAAGGAGAAGGCTAACGGAAAAGAAAGGAGAAGAAAAAAAAGGTTTGCTTCGTATTATGCGTAAACTGTGTGAGTTTCATCTTTTTATGTTTGTTGATCATTTTCTGCTAATGGGCTGTGTATGGATGTCAAACAGTGCATTTTGTTCATGATTGTTATTCTTTTTTTATGGATGTTTTTATCACTTTTATTTTTTTTATTCCGCATATGGCTGGCTAAAATATGGTTTCCAATTTTCTATTTCCTTGATATGGGCTATTAAGAAACAAGGAATGTCTTATATGTAGTTGATTCATGGGAACCAAAAAAGAAAAAAACCATCTCATATACATGTCATTTGTTTCTTTGGCATGTTGATTGCTTCTTGGGTTCATAGCATCTCTTTTCCTTCATACTTTTGACAAGTTTCATGTCGTTTTCTTCTTGTTTTCCATGAGGATATCCTTTCATGATTTATTGTCCTTACTTTTTGGTTTGATTTCTGGGAAATGTTTTGGTCTCCTTTTATGTTTTCTAATCTAAATAATAATAAAAAAGGTCCATCATGAGGAGAGCTTAAAACTTTCATCTTGCATGGTAAAGAAAACTTTAAAAATTAGACATTATTTCAAGATCCATCACTTATGCTTTTTAGCCTAGACTCTATAGGTTAATGAATGTTATAGTAAATTTTTCTTTTACATATTATATATTATGACATTTTTGTGGTTTGAACCTTTATGTTAAATTTAATTCCATGCAATTCATTTTTTTACATTATAAATTATTTTTGGTTTAATTTATTTTCCATGTACACTAGTTTTATAAAAAAAAAAAATGATATGAATAAAATTTTTTGAAAATAATATTTTAGAGAAATCCAGGTAGTTATTCTTTAAAATGTCTAGGTGAGGATATTTTTTAAAAAATACTATCAAAGTAATAGAATATTTAGGAAAATATAAAAAAAATTCATTTGTCATTTTTAAATTTGATGAATGCTTAATAATAATGTATAATGACTTCTTCTAATAATAAATTGATATAATTAAAGTTTTGAAATTAGAACTAAAAAA